CACGGAAGCCGGCGACTTCCAGGCTCGCGGGCGGCGCGGGCGACACGGGAGGCTGGCGGGTTGTCTCACGGAGATTAGCCGGGCTTTCTACGTCCACCTCTGCCATGTCATCGGTCAGAAAGCCGTTCGGGCCAGTCTCATCATCTTCACCTGCAGCCTCCTTCACTGTCAGGTCTCCGAGCAGGAGGAACCTTTCATAATCATCAAAAAGAAGGAAGTCAAAATGATGATGATGCGAATGTTTCTCACTTATGTCTGCCATCATTTACCGTGATCTCAACTATTGCAAATATCTCTCTTTTAGAATCATATACATGTATAAACATAGACAGAGAGCCAATATATATGTTCTAATGTTCAATTACATGTTTACCTAATGTGCAATGAAAAAATATTAAATAAAACGTAGTCAACCAAAAATATCAGGTTGAATTTCTCAAGATAAGAACTATTATCTTTATTGTAATATAATTATGAACTACACCTACTTCGCCATGTAGCAGAGAAAGAACGTCTTCGCCCTAGGAGACAGACTCCCCTCCCTGTCGTGGATGGTGATGACGATCATGGTGATGAAGAGGAAAACTCCCATCAGCGCCATCCACACGACAATCAGCGTGGCTGTATCATTCCATTTAGGAATGTTCCGGGAATATAAACAGTTACTCGAATGTTCCAGGGATAGAAACAGTTACCAGAATGTTCCGGGAATATAAACAGTTACCGGAATATTCCGGGAATATAAACAGTTACTGGAATGTACCAGGAATATAAGAAGTTACCGGAATGTTTCTGGAATATAAAAAAATACTGAAATGTTCCATATCTTTATCAGAAATTGGTCACTGAAAAATTAAATTTTTTGATCACGACCTCAGCAGAGTTCAGTAAGGCCCTGAGGAATGTGGCTAAGGGAACACGTTGGCTTTTGTTTCCGGTCGCCAAAATACTTAAGGAATCAAATCTAAAACAATTTTTTGTTTGTTCACTAATAGTTGTCAAAAGTAATTTTAAAAAAATGAAAACAATTGCAACACAGTTATGTCATATCCACTATAACTCACCGAAAAACGGCAGTGCCCCCTTGACAGGCAGAACATCCGTGACAAACACGAGAGTCACGACCATGGAAAGGAGAATGGTCACTCCGAAGGAGATCCGGTCTCCCCTGTCGATGGGCATGACGAAGGTGATGGTCATCAGCACCACCAGGATGACGCAGGGTCCAACAGTAGTGGCGATGTGGAACAGCGGGATCCTCTCCAGCTGAACAGTGAAGCACGCCTCCGTGTTACCTTTTGAGAAGAACATGTCCTTCCGATACCATTCGCCCTCCTGACGTGCAGTAGACAGGACGTTACAGAGACTTCCCTCTCGGCATTCTGTGTTCAACATATCATCCCAAAACAACACATTATCACTGAGTGACGCTAATTTGTACCGTACAATGAGAGTTAGTGAGGTGTGCCAAAAGTAGAAACTTTAAGATACTAGTGACAAGGATAAAAAAAAAAGGATTTCATTTTTTTTTACTTTCTTTGCTGACGTTCCAGCTACCTTCACAAGGGTTAACTACTTACTTGTCATATTGTGGTGTAACGACAGGGATGCGTGTCCAAACGTGGATATGGACTCTGCTACTTCTCGTCAAGTTTCAGAACACATCTTTGTTCTTAACGAAACGGCCTCTACTTTAGTAATCCAACTTATTTAATGTACATAACACAACTGGCATTAGGACACTTATATTATGGTTAATGTTGTAAAACCGACTGTACAACGTTTATTTACTCATTCAATGACATGTAAAGCTAATGAACCTTTCCCAAAGACGAACACAGGCTTTTTTAATCTATCTATGTCATCTCCCGACTTCATATCTACGTGCTTAGGCCAATGTATATGTAGTGCATCACAAAAATTAGCTCCTGATTTGCATAATTGCCATTTGATTATGTCAAGCATCACTTCAACTACCTACATACCAAAAATCACGACAATACGTCAACCGGTTTTTGAGTTATCTTCCTTCAATTTTTTTTTCAACAAATACTCCTGCAGTTTCAGAATTAAAGTATTGTAACAGATAGCAACGTCTAACGCACATCATGTCATACGCCGTTTACGTTCATAATACTAGTAGTCAGTATTGCCATACATTGTACGATGTACAACTGTCGAGCAATAAATTTCAGTCATCTATCAGATTATGGAACTAGAAAAGGTCGAAAAATTTAGGTTTCTTTTTCTCGGTGTCGGTGGAGAAACAGGAAACACAACATTTTCTTCCTAGGACTTACCGATGGTTTGCTCAGTTGCAGAGGATGCAGAGAAACAGATGGCGCATTCCATGGTGTCGGCAGGGAAGTAGAAGGGGTCTGCATCACACACGGTGGTGGTCAGGGTTTCTACCCTCCAGGTTATCTGGCCATTGCTGCTAACCCGGACCGGTACGTCCTTTGGTAGGCCTTGGTACAAAGGATCAGCGCTGGGGAGGAATCAACAGGGTTTCATCACTTCTTGTTGATGTACACTCGAGTACATTAAACCCCGTCCTGACACCGCCCAAGGGAAGTAGCAGTTCCTACGGTTAAGCCTTACCATAGAAGCTACACTTTCCTCATTTACATAATAGTGACCCTTTCGATTTTTTGTCCTCTTCAACTGCTTCAGTTCCTTCACATGTGATTAGTTTTGTGCTCTTAGTTTATTTAGTGACGCTGAAGAAGAGTGAATGTCACTCGAAACGCCTGGACGTTATTTCCGTTATTTATTCAGTAGTAGAGTTTGATTTTTCTTTGAATATTATTTCCAACTATCCAACAACCCGAGGAAACAAGTCACAGCATCCCTCCCCCGTATCGTTACAGATATTGTTCATATTCTTATATTGCGCTAAGGTAAAATCTTGAAATGTTTGGTACAACAAGATTAAAATTGCTTCTACCAGTGAGACGATATCTAATAAAGTTAGCATGAGTCAATAGTAGTTATACAAGAAACTACATACTTCCTCTTCAGAGTAAGTGTAGGGGTCCAGATGCTGCTGCCCGGGACGCTAAAACTCGAAATGTTGTGGTAGTACTTTGGATCCCAGCTCAGCCGGCTGTCCTGCCATGTCTGGGAAGATAATAATATATTGTTGTTAAGATTACAACTGGAAGGAAAAAGTCATGAAAGGGTTTTAATGCTCTTAAAGACAAATTTATGGCATACTTTCTTTATCGCCTAGAAATTTTATAACCCTGTCAACTTACGAAGTCGATGACTAAAGAGGCAACCAGCAGCTCCTTCTTTTCCTCCTGGAAGAAAAGTTAAAGCATCTGTTTTATGACGTTCATGAGTTGTCTATTTGTCATAAACCAAAAATATGTGAAATGTGTTACAGATACTGAAACTTCATCATCATCGCTACATTCTAATGAATAACATTAGGATTGGTCGTCATTGTCCTCCGTAATGTCTTTTTTTGTTTGTTTTGTTTTTCTGCCCGTTGCACCCCTTCCCAACCATAGAGCATGTCTGCAAGACCCCACTGATATGTCCCTCTTCAAGTCATACTAAAACGTACCAAGTCCACGATCAGTTCTATAGATCCGTTAAAGCTGATTACGGGCCGGGTATGGTTCTCCGTCTCGGGTGCCAGGTTTGGAATGTACACAACGAGTACATCCTCTTCCAGCCTACCCTTGATATTCACTGAGAAGAAAATACATGGCTATTGTTAGGAATTCATCTACAGCAACGAAGTAAACTGTAAGCTTTCAGATAGATTGGCAGTTTAAAAATCATGAAAAAAAATTTATTTGTTGATTCGATTTGATATGTTTTGAATACTATATTCAATTTAAATTGCTGTTTTGAACTTCATTAACTGTACAAAGTGCAGAATTAACTAACTTAAAGACACCATCAAAATCACCTGTACAACTGGGCTTGTCATATTGCCAGATGCCTCCTTCATTGCATCTCACTTCGCTGGTATACCCGAACTTGAGGGAATACCCCTCGTTGCAGGTGAAGGCGACTCTTTCTCCCACGTAGTAGAACCTCTTCACAGGGCTTCTGCTGCCGTAGTTTGGAGGTCCCATGTCCCAGCAGCCGTCTGCATCTGGGTGTTATAAGTTAATAAAAAAATGTACAGTGGTGAGGTAATGCAGCCATCCTTATATGGCAATAATTCATGCAAAGTGTTGGACTTGTACTATGATAGTAATGATGATAAATAACGGTCAACTGGCCAAATATTACCCGTGCAATCGCAGCCCTCTACAGTGCTGAATTGATGCAGGGTGTACAATCGGGTTAAAATCACATACGAATTAATTTAACAATGATAATAACAAATAATTACATAATACACATGATGGATATAAGCCATAACATATTTGCTCCACAAACGTATTGTGGAACTGTCGCAGGTTTCCCCCAACCGAATTTATGTACAAATTCACACCTGGGTGAAAGATTGACAAAGGGGACCTAAAGATATATCTTGCGACCGTACTGCACACAGTCCGCATAGATACCATATGGTCAGGAGCAAAGGACCAACTTCTGGACTGAACAGGTAAGTAGACAGGCATGTAGGAATAATGGTAAAAATGGTCACTGTATCATTTGTTTAGTAGCTGCGTGATAGAATATTCCCTCTTGCGTAAAAATGAAAGCTGAACTAAAAACATAGACGCATGCATGATCTGAGAGGAAAGTCTGTGTATTTGGTAACACAGTTGGGTGCTAGGAACATGGAATGGTTCACAATATTTCCGCCATTTTGACATGACAACTTACTGCACGGAATGACGTCACATTCCTGCTGGCTGCCATCTTCCAGCAGACAAAATGGCCGCTCCAGACCGGCAGGGTTACGGCAGTAGTTGTTGTTTATGTCGGCCCAGGGGTACTCGATCCTGTAGAAGTCAGCCTGCGCAGCGGACCAGTTCACACACCCTGCCCCGGATTTGGTGGTACTCCATGCACCACGGTAGTTCATGCCGTTACCGTGGAAGCAAACTGTGGAAGAGAAACGGTCATATATGAGCAATTTATCCTATTAATGTACGAAATGACGCATCTCTTCTGTTATGAATATGAGCCAAACTCACCAAAGCTGTCATATCTGTAACATGTAGCGTTGCATGCAATTACAGCATAAGCAGGACACGTTTAAACATTTGATGTCATGCAAAAACGAATGTACAGTAGACAAACTATGTAATAAGAGAGAAGAAAGGGCAACTAGTAGTAGATAATAGGTAGTATATAGTATTGATATTATATAAAGTCTCCTAGCACTAAGCATTAGAATGTAGCGTTTCAGTATGCAATACTATTTTTATCCTCTCGATCACATTTGGTCACATCTGTGCATTTAGCCCACCTGGAAAATAACATGCAAAAAAGATTCATATCAGTATAATAATGTTATAATACGTGTAGGGAATGGTAAATTTTGAATGGCACATAACAATATCAGCTGCTACTTCTCGTGGAAAGTAAGAGATTAACCCTTACCTTCGTTGTTCCTCTTTTCTGGTTCAGGGTTCCAACAGCGGTGTTGTGGTGGCGAAAACAAGTCACATGTAGGGAACCGGCTCTTTATTTCTGCATCAGCCATGTTCAGGACTTCCTCACACCACGATCGGCACGGTAGCAGTGTTGTGTTTCTACAAAACATAGGCATAGTTAGAACCGACCGATAAAAGGACATTTCTAATAACTGATATTCGTTACCGTCCACCATCAACATCAAAACTCTAAAACAATAGAGCAAATCAATAAAACCTAAGCGCAAACGTTACGATGTTGCGATATTCAAAATAGATATGCAAGTGATAGCTACTAATTTCTAAAAATTCAACCCTGTAAGCAATGTTAATTTATGTAAATGTACAAAATCATTTGAATCTTTCTCCGCATGTTTGACTCACGCGCACGGAGTGGTGTTGTTGGCATGTAGAGACGAAGAGAAGTTGGTGATTTTCTCTTCGCAGACAAAACAACGCGGAAAGATGACTGTAGACGCAAACTCCTGGAACTCAGGGTGTCGGTCCTTTGTGTTGCTCGCCGAACTGAGCAGGTCCATGGCAGAGGAATTTCGTATCTCCTGAAACGTCGTGTGACCCAGCTGATTGGGCAGCATCGCTAGCCTGATGCCGAGGTTGAAATCCCCAGGAATCGGCAGGCACTCTGAAATTACAACAAGCGCGTGTGTGAGATATCGGCCGGCTTGAGGAGTGCGTGTGCGAGATATCGGCCGGCTTGAGGAGTGAGTGTGCGAGATGTCGGCCGGCTTGAGGAGTGAGTGTGCGAGATGTCGGCCGGCTTGAGGAGTGAGTGTGCGAGATGTCGGCCGGCTTGAGGAGTGAGTGTGCGAGATGCCGGCCGGCTTGAGGAGTGCGTGTGCGAGATGTCGACCAGCTTGATTAATAAATCCCTCTACTATATATTTACAACTATGATTTCATTTTACAATTCAAATCCGCATTTTGGCACTTATGCTGAGGTCACATTTCCAACCCGGGCCCGGCCGGGCTGTTTTGATTAACGACAAATCAACAATTGATATCAATAATGCACGCAAAAAGTTCCCATTATTATTCTATCAACTTCCTTATGTTCTCTCGTCTTTTTGTATCACACTTTTTGTCGTATAAGATTGCCCGGCTGGACGCCGGTTTGGAAATGTGACCACAGCATTAGCCTCGGTGCATTTCGATCATCCATGGGGCTCGGTATACTTGCTAGCCCCGTATCGAATCGGAATGCACTGGCAAAATATTAAAATAATTATTCATTCAGAAATCTGCCCAACGTTTAAATGAATTAGAAAAAAATGCTAGAAAAATACAGCCTCTCTTCATTGACCACATTTACTCAAAACAGCGAATGACCATTTTGGCATCACATGTCATTAACTATTTAATAACTTAACTGTTGTTTTATTTGTGTTCTTCATTCTCTCCACGATTCTTCATTTAGTCTTACAGTCTACAGTCATTTAGTCTTAAGCAAGGTAAGAGAGAATCACGGGATGTGCAGGAAAAAATCTCAATATTCTATATTCTACCAACGTGATGAAATCATTTTCGCAACTTACCACAACCGTCCTCGTCACTCCCGTCCGAACAGTCCGTCCTCCCGTCACACCGCCTCCAGGTCAGGGTGCAGGCATGTCCGTGTCCGCACCGGAAGTACCCGAGGGGGCATTGGACCGCTGTGTAAGGAATCAGTCTGTTAGAGGGACATCATGTAACATTTATGTCAAACTAAGATTGAAATATTTCAAATTAAAAAAAAAATCCCCGTGTGTATGCGATTCGCTTGCAGTCTATTTTTCAAAATATCTGTGAAATTATGTCACATTTCTGACATTTATGTTTGGTGCTAAAACATCCTATACGAGGCCTTATTTAGTTTGCAATACCGTAACAGACTACAAAAATTAGTGTAAACTTTGCTAACAGCTGTGTTTTTAACCCTTCAAATTTACACTTATAAGGCGTCATATTTTGACACTTTTTGCAATGAACTAGGGTTGGTATTTAACTTACTTTGTTAAGAAATAAGGGACGTTACTTTTGTATCGTCCTAATGTAAGATCAAGACATGCAATTTTAAATGCGTCCCTATTTCGATTATGATCCATCGGCAATAAAGCATGGGTGTTTTGAACCAGGCAATACTGTAAAGTTTGAAAAGACCAAAAAGTGTAAAAAAGTTGACACATTTCGTTCTCATTCACATTAATTTGCACCGAGAGAGGCACATCGGAACTTTTAAACCTGGCGTATAATTATACATGTATAAAGGCCTAGGGTTCCTTCATTTTATTCATCTTCTCTCTTCCACCAGGGCAAAAGCGTAACAATGAAGCATGATAACGTATAGACGTCTAATCATAAGTAATAAAAACGTAATTATGTGTAACCATACAACGCTAAATGGCATACCCTCATTCAGCTGGCAGATGAACTTGTGAGCAGACGAGCACGGCGCATCGTTCCATCCGGTCCCGAAGTGGTTTACACATTGTTCTCCTCCGTTGTTGTCAGGTTCACCCGGCTGCCATCCAGTCCAGTGTACGGTTGTGCTGTATGGAGTCCCATCTTCCCACGCCCACCCTTCCTCTCCGTTCTGATTGTTCAGGCCGAACCAGAAAGGAGAGTTGGGATCCACGGCGTTCTTGAGGTCCCTCAAGAAGTTGTCCACCTCTCTGTCCTTCGGCATGGCGAGGAGTCCCCCGTCCGCTGCACACACCTGTCTGGCCTGACTGTAGGTCTTGTCTTGGTTGTACGCCTTGAAGCATGAAGCTTTGTCTGCAGTGTAGCCAGGTGGACACTCTACAAAAACATGACATTCTTCAGACTTCATAGCAAAAAAATTCATGTCGCGTGACACCGTCAATGTTATAAGCGACTTTAAAGCCCTCAACAAGAAACAAAAAGCTCAATTGCAAGGTTTGAAGCCTTATCCCTGGAAAGGGTCATGACCGAAGCTTCAGGGGCACTAAAGGGACTAAAGGTTGAAGTTGAGTAGAAAGCTAAGGAAAGATTACTTCCTACCAGAGGATGGTATGTTGATCGTGCTTCGCTCCACAGTCGTACTTGCGGGGGCCTGTGGGGTGCTGTTCTCCACAGTCGTACTTGCGGGGACCTGTGGGGTGCTGTTCTCCACAGTCGTACTTGCGGGGACCTGCGGGGTGCTGTTCTCCACAGTCGTACTTGCGGGAGCATGTGGGGTGCTGTTCTCCACAGTCGTTAAGCGCGATGTAGGGATTACTATACGGTGATAACAGAAAATAGGTCAAAACCACAATGTTTTATCCTAGCAAAGCACGGTCTTCCCACCCTCACATGCGGACGTTTTAGCACAGTTGTCAAGAAGACAATGGCTTTCCAAAGTGGATAGGGGTCGCTGTTGGAATGAGTGGAAGTCAATTACATGTGTTCATGTATTTAGTAGCCCTATTAATTAAACTGCTTCTGTCAACAAACAAATGCTTTTGTGTTTTTTGTTTTCGTCTCCCTTCCTCACAATGTATAACCTAAGTCCACAGCAAGTAATTGTAATGGATGACATCAGCGTACCATTGACCTTTCTGGGTTTTGCAAAAGAAAAAGAGAAACTGATGTCATTTGACTGTGGCCAACATTCAAAATATGACGTAGGCCTCTATAGGCAGGAAAAGTCGATACAATTTTATGGATGCATACACAGTATCAATAGATGCCCCCCTCCCCACACACACACACAGTGCAAAGTATTACGGACAAATTTTTTGAAGCCTGACCAGGAAGTCTTAGACTTAGAAGACTTAGAATTACATGTATATAATTGTCATCTGCTTTAATTACCAGGCCTAATTTCTGCAAGCATATATCACATGTTACCTTCATAATTTCTACTTTTTGGCAGGTTTCCTTAAATCATCTAAACTATCTGTTCAGATGCACTGATTTTTATTAGTATTTTAGTTCCAAATTGCGTAGCCTTTAAAAGGCAGAATAAAATACTGTGCAGATTGACAATTATGGGTCTTTCCTTGGTGCTTAAAAGCTTGTCTAAAGCCTCGGTCACAACCCGCCGTACGTGCGTTTTGTCCGTACGTTTTTGGGAGGTTACGTCTGCTACGTTTTTCTGAAAACGGAGTAACGGCGACGCACGTCACTCGCACGTCACTTGCACGGTTGCGCAATGTGTAAGAGTGGGGTCTGCACGCCACGTCTGGCCGCGAGCGGCTGCGTTCATCGTACGTTGCGCAAGTGGTGAGTTGTATACGTGCTTACAACGTACGATCTCTGTGCGATTGCAACTTTACCGTAAGAACGCCGTATTTACACGTGCTTCTTCCGTACGGCACGTACGGGGCACGCGCGTCGCACGTACTCGCACGTACTCGCACGCACGGGTGGTGAATCCGCAGACCGCACATAGAAAAAAGTTTTACATGCACTTAAAGGTCTACGGCGTGTCTGCGTGCTCCAAAATTTGTAGAATTCCGTACGGAGGTGGTACTCACCACGCACGAATGTCCTATGTTTGCCCACGTTTTTGCACGTAGACAGCACGCAGAAGTACGTACGGCCGGTTGTGACCGTAGCTTAAGACACATTTACGTGTTCCCATACATGTGCAGGTCCTGTAAAGCCGTAAAGAATATCATGTGTTAATGCGCATGTACTACTTACCGCATGGATACTCAGCCCTGCTGGCCTGTCCGAAGACTCTGATGTTAGTTGTATCCCAGTCAATCACGTTGCCATGGTAACTACAGTTCGCTCCTATTTCGGCTGGAGATAGCACGCGGTCCCAGAGGTTCACTTCCGACAGCTCTCCGATGAATGACTGGTCTGCATCGAATCCCCCACCGACTACGTCTTGTTCCTGTCCGAGGATCCATGTTCCGCCTCTGCGCACTCTTCCTCCCACTCCAAACCCCGAGCCTGAAGCCCTCAGCATGCCGTCAGCGTACAGCTGCCAGGCTCCATCACTGCTGCGCCAGGTAGTGCAGACGGCGTGCCACTCACCGTCCCAAACGGGTGGGTCTGCCATTCGGATGCTGCTTTGTACGAATAACTGAATAAAATGACATAAGTTACATCAGTTAGTATATCCAGCATAAGCAAGCAATAGACAGCAGAAGCGAAATATCGAAAGAGATTGTATACTTACTAAAAATCCACCTTCAACATTTAAGAGAAGCTCGTTGTCGTGTTCTGGTACCGCGTAGCTGACCAAGTTTATGTCATTGCTGGAATCCATGTTGGAGCGCATGTGCACACAGAGGGTAAAGCTTGATAAGTCCTCAGACAATGTGGTCTCCATCCTGGCATAGTCATCGATGCTTCTTGGACCGGGGAAGATGATCTTCTGTGAGTCCCCTGGTACAACATGTAACTTTATTAAACAAACTTTTAAGGCGGATAAAATGTGTGACAATGTGGCAAACCAAAGTAGTCACTAATAAATGTACTGTGAAATACCTGTGATGGCCTGTGGGGTGCTGTTCTCCACAGTCGTACTTGCGGGGATCTGTGGGGTGCTGTTCTCCACAGTCGTACTTGCGGGGGCCTGTGGGGTGCTGTTCTCCACAGTCGTACCTGTGGTGGCCTGTGGGGTGCTGTTCTCCACAGTCGTACTTGCGGTGGCCTGTGGGGTGCTGTTCTCCACAGTCGTACTTGCGGGGGCCTGTGGGGTGCTGTTCTCCACAGTCGTACTTGCGGGGATCTGTGGGGTGCTGTTCTCCACAGTCGTACCTGTGGGGGCCTGTGGGGTGCTGTTCTCCACAGTCGTACTTGCGGGGGCCTTGGGGGTGCTGTTCTCCACAGTCGTACCTGTGGTGGCCTGTGGGGTGCTGTTCTCCACAGTCGTACTTGCGGGGACCTGTGGGGTGCTGTACTCCACAGCCTTACTTGCGGGGGCTTCTTGGGTGCTGTTCTCCAAAGTCGTACCAGTGCTGGCATGTGGGGTGCTGTTCTTCACAGTCATACCTGTGGTGACCTGCGGGGTGCTGTTCTTCATAATCGTACCTATGGTGGCCTGTGGGGTGCTGTTCTCCACAGCCGTACTTGCGGGGACCTGTGGGGTGCTGTTCTCCACAGTCATACTTGCGGGGACCTGTGGGGTGCTGTTCTCCACAGCCGTACTTGCGGGGACCTGTGGGGTACTGTACTCCACAGCCTTACTTGCGGGGGCATTTGAAGTGCTGTACTCCACAGTCGTACTTGTGGTGGTCTGTGGGATGCTGTTCTCCGCAGTCGTACTTGTTGGGGCGTGTTGGGTGCTGTTGTCCACAGTCGTTGTAGGGATTACTGCACGGCGATAACAGAAAATAGATAACCACAATGTGGCCAATGCGGCCGGCCATTTTACATCTCCCAATATAAGCGTCACAGTCGTCCCGGTAGTGATGTTAACTTGAAGAATGATTTTTTTTTATTAAGAACATCAGCGACCAGGAGGAACGTCTAATTGGTGTTATGGGTGCCAGGGTTTCCTAACAGGTGGGAAAATGTAACAACTATTTAAAAAACCCTTTAACTGTTTCTAATTTTCCAGAATTTCATCCACTGCCGAGAGTAGCCAACGAGAAAACAGGGCCATCTCATTTAGTGATCAGTTACAAATTTTCACATGATCTAAAGAAGTACATACCCCCCCC